CCCATCTCCTCACATGAGGCATGCAGCAGAGCAGGGGCACCGGATCTGGCCTCGGCGGCCGCTGGGGGAGGACGGCTGGAGCGGATCTGGCGGCGCCGCGGGCGAACGCTCACCCGACGCAGGAGCTCCGCGTGCACCTCTCTCTTATTTAAGGGTAATACTACCAATGACACTAGTTCATTCCTTATTCGAAACCTATTTTTTATGTAGATTCTACTACTATATGTTAGTTCTTGCAAGCTATAAAAAGTGCAATTTTATGTGTAAATTATGTGCAAATTTACCATGATTTTTTTCATTCCTTTCTTCCTAAAGGACGGTACCAATGCCACTACTTCATTCTTTTTTAGAAAAAGTTATATTTTTGTTTGTTTAAATAAGTATACACACAAGTACTATACAACATGTGTGTAAATTATGGTAGAGTGCAAAATCGTAATATTATATATTCGTTGTTTACATCTCTACTATTAAAGGGTGATCGAACATCGTGATGGTTGCTCCTCCCCTGTGGTTCGACCTCTCCAGCCTCGTACGTAACTTCTGCCCGTGAAGGAAAAATCGGACCTCCTCGCAACCCCTCCGCGCACGATAGAAAAAAAAAACCACACGTACGCACGTCCCAACTCCCACCTCCCACCCCCTTGCACCAGACCCCTCGCTATCGCACGTCCTAGATTGGAGCGGTGGATCTGCATCTCATATCTTCATCACCGAGTCCATGAGGTGCTCGATGTGGCAGGGGCGACGAAGAGGAGCGCCGCATCAATAGCAGCGACGAACGACGGCCCAGGTAATGCCATCTCCTTACCCTCGCTCCACCGCATCTTCTCACGCCAGCCAGTGGATATGCAGCTGCGGCCCAGACTTGGTGGCCGAGCAGCAGCGACCTCGACGCGGCGCATGCATGGTAGCTGATGCACGGCACAGCGACCGCGACCAGGACGCGGTGGTGGGAGTACGGCGACGGCTGCCAAGACCTGGCGTGACGGCGATGAAGATATCGACTCCGACGACTCGCCTCCGTTCAACAGCGCCCTGCTTTTCCGCATCGCCTCCATCAAGCATCACCTTCTTTTCCGCGCGCACATCACCTCGGTCACTGGTAAACCGCTGTATCTCTGTACTCTGCTGGCGATCTGGATTTAGGAGCTCTGGGATTTGGAGAATGCACGGGCTGGAGTTGGGGAATAGCCCGGGCTTCCTGCAGAAGACGATAGGTCTTGTTTGGAAAAAAAATTCACGAACTAGTGACGACACCGGTATTCAACTTTCTTCTCTTTTTTTTTGGAGAACTAACTTCTTTTCTTTGTGAAAAAACTATTCATGAATCGGAATCATCGAATTAACAAACTGCTCAGCCGATTCACGAACTAGAGATGTATGCACCCCACCGAACTCAATTTGTAGGCACTACCGAATCGCAAATCCCGAACCCGAATCAGTGGACTGCGAATCCGGTAACTATGGCAGGGACTGACAAGTGGCATCAGACGTCTGGTAGCGTAAAGGACGACGGGTGGTGGTAGGGCTATGGGAGGAGCAGGTAGACGGAGGAGGTTACCTGTGGAAAACTGGCATGTGGAGGCATAAAGGTATTATGGTTTGATGTTTGCTTTTTACCTAGATGAATACTTATAGCACTGAATTTATGAATGTGGGCGTAAAGGACGACGGGTGGTGATAGTGCTACGGGAGGAGCAGGTAGGGCTATGGCGGCATAAAGGTATTATGGTTTGATGTTTCTTTTTACCTAGATGAATACTTATAGCACTGAATTTATGAATGTAGATTTATAGTATTGTGTTTTTGATGTTTACTTATTGTCGTAATCTCACGTATAGGTTGTGTAGAAATCACTCAAGTCTGCTTTTTATTATGGAAGCTCGTTGTATGTGTAAAATTATTTATACTCTTGGTCCCGGCGCACGGAGCCTACAAGACGCCGAATGTTCCTGCTGCTGCTGTAAGCATTTCATTTGATTATGTTTTCACCTGCTGCTGCTGTGAACATCAATTATCTTTACTACTGAGTCTATCATATTTTGGTTCTGTTGATGGCAGTACCAAGCGGGAAAACACCAGAAATAAGTTCAACTTGAGGAAGAGCATGAAGATGATGAACTCGCTCGGCGGCTTGTACCGTGTTTTGTGCTGGAGGAACATAAAAATCTCCGTTTCCTCGTTACTTTATTCTGATGGTTTATTTGCCATATGTTAGATTGGCGAGAGGTGGGGTAACAGAAAGAGGCGACGTTAAAATCGGTGCTAGTGACGACGCCGGTAGACACGATGAGCTTGGCGACAGCGGCTGCCGCAACATTGTTGTACTTGGAGCCCATGCTATCCGAGCTCAACAATGCCAATAGCTCAGTCCTTTTACGTGTTCATTGACAAGTTGTCGTAAAGTACCTTGGCGTCAACAAACACGGCCATAATGACAGAGTCGTGCTGGCCGACTGCCCTGCTTCCATGCGCCGAGCAATCTACTGGTTTGAGATGACCGTGAGGACAGCTGGGCTCAAGGGGTTGAATCGGGTTCACCACATGTGGTGGCAACCTGGGTCAGCTTTTGTTGGCCCTTTCTACATGTGGTGGAATATTTGGTATCTTTAGCCTGGTTTTAGTTCTCTGACAGCAATTAGCAATGCTAAACTTGAGAGCAAAAGGAGTTGTAAGAAGAAAGGAGTTGTAAGAAGTGTTCCTTAGAAATTGTACACTAAACTGCTTGCACATTTTCATGCATGTTGGCACTCACCTTGGAGCACAATTAAATGGAAATCAGTAGCAAAAATACAATCTGCATAGTGGTAATCTAATCCTAGAATTTGGCTTCATTTATATATTTCAAAGTGGTTCCATGATTTTATATTTTGCGCATTTTCATGCATGTTGGCACTCACCTTGGAGCACAATTAAATGGAAATCAGTAGCAAAAATACAATCTGCATAGTGGTAATCTAATCCTAGAATTTGGCTTCATTTATATATTTCAAAGTGGTTCCATGATTTTATATTTTGCGTACTATGTTCACACTGTAACTTTTAACTTGGGATTTTAAGTGCGCGAACAGTTGATATGGGTTACAATTGAAACTTACATTCGTTCTACTGAATAGAATAATTGGCTTCTGATTGTACTAAAATTTCTTAAGAGCTATAATAACTTTATTCTGTAGCAATCAGTTAATTAAGAAGTGATATCTTCCCCTTGCTTTGAAGTGAATGCAAATTTCGGGGTATACTCTTATTTATTGCAAGCATCACTAAGCGCAACTTCTGAAACTTTGATTTAAACAAAAGAATACTGAAAAATACTGAAAAAGGGCGTGATGCAAATTGGGTATCAGTAGTTTTGTAGGGGGCTGGGAATAGCAACGGTAGTTTGCAGGACTTGGAGAAAATATGGCAGATTCGGAGCAGGGTGACAACATACCAAAGGACAGTGTGATGACCCAAAAGGTGTAGCCCAAGGCTCGCCATAGATCCATTTATTGGCCTGTGGCAACGCACGGGCATTCAACTAGTATTACTAAAAGTGCAATTCCAGTACTCTAGCACCAACATTAGCCTAACGACGCAATATATAGTAGTGCTAAAGGCCTGAGCCAAACGACGCCAACATTAGCCTAAACTCAAAGAAACACGATGCTATGAATGTACTCTAGCACTGCCCTGATGTTCGCCATCGGAAGGGAGGACAGTAATTTGCTGTCAACCATAGCACCAATCACTTTCTACAGCTGCCCTTGTTGTGACCAAGCATTCGATTTACTTGCGGGTGGAGATCCAATAGACAACTTCCTCAACATTTTTTTTCAACACGTACTTCCATAGCCAGTTGTGATCATTCAGTCTTCACTGAGAACATATTGTGGGCTTGTCGCCGATGGTGGCACTATTGAACCTTTGATTTCCCAGAAATGTTGAAGACATGGCCAAGAAAAGGACAGCCCTTGCAAAAGAAAAGCGAGTTTGAACCATTATTAATTAATTGGCTTCCCTCTGACAATAACATTCGTCAAACTTTCAACAAACAATCCGCAAAGCCTAACTATTATCTTATAAACATTTTATAAGAAACAAATAATCGAGCTTCCGGTTGTTGCTCCACGAGCTCTCCGCTAAAAAAACACTAACGACGCGTCTGGTTGGGTGGATAACCCCTGCTTCCAATTACAGCGCTATCAGAAAGCAGTAGCAACCGGTTGGTTCGGTCATTTTGTTTTCTGTTACGATGCTATCGGATACAGTGCTTCACATCCGCGAAAACGTTCAATCCGGACGGATACAGAATCCTCTCTGCTCCGTATTCGCTTGGGCCCGAACCAAACAAAACGCGTATTCAGTAGAGAGTATCGGAAGCAGCGCTTCCCCACACTGAAAATGGAGAACGATACCAGAGTGCGAACCAAACGCCTCGTAAAGCTTTTCTAGATAGAACCATAGTACGCCGGATTTGGTTGGATGGGCCTCTCGTGGATGCATGCATGCATGCGGTCATGCAGGCGTATGAATGATACCTTCTCCCGTGAACGCGGAAAGCCCAAAAATATATGCATGATACGTTCTCCGCGGCCACCTGGTTGGAGTATTATTCGCCCAGAGTCACAGGACAAGCATACGGTAACGACCAGAGAACGCGGCTGTTTTACTTGACTTGCTCACAAAAAAGGGTAGAGGAACGGTTGTTTTCCGTGCAGTAGGTAAGGGTGCGTTCAAACCCAGACCCGGACCGACGACCTTCCTCCGCTCACTGACAGGCGGGCCAGCGCCGCCACGAGGACCCATGTGGCGGCGAGCTCCCACTCGGCCACTCGCCGGTGATGTCCACTTCAGTCGGTCAAACTCCGTGACGACGAACGGTCAACACATCCGGCTTCTTCTCAGCGACCCCCTCATCATAAACTCTCACGACCCTCTCTGTGTTACAATTAAAGCTTTTCTCCGTTGCAAATTCCTCATCCCGTAGGCCGTAGCCAGCAAACAAGATCGACGAGATGATGCATCCGTTTCGTGCCCCGGCAGCCGCCGCGGTGCTCTGCTCAACCACGCTGCTGCTAGCTGCCGTCCTCGCCACCGACGCCACCATAAACACCACCACGCCGTCGTTGCCGTCCTCGTCGTCCTCGCCCTGCGCCCCGGCGACGTGCGGGGGCCTGCGCATCGAGTACCCATTCTGGCTCGGCGGCACGCACCCGCCAGAGTGCGGCTACCGGGCCTTCCAGGTCACGTGCGACGGCAACGGCACGGCCTTCCTCGAGAACTCATTCTGGAAGTACCAGATCCTGGACATCTATTACGACGACAGCACCTTCAGGCTCGCCAACCACGATCTCTCCGACGGCACCTGCGACGTCGAGGTCCGCGTGAACGCCACCTCCGACCTCGGCCTCGCGCCCTTTGCCATCAGCCGGACCAACCAGAGGCTCTACTTCCTCTACAACTGCACCGACCTCCGGGCGCGGCCGCCGCCCCGTTCGTGGGCGCCCGTGAACTGCACCAAGGGGTCCAACGTGTCCACCTTCAACTCCTTCGCGTTGCTCGCCGGCGGGTACAGGCCCGTGCCGGGGAACTGCAGGGTGTCGATGATGCCCGTGCTGGGGTACCCGGGGGCGGCCGGGAAGGACTACCGGCAGCTGATGAAGGGCGGGTTTCTTCTGGACTACGCGGCCGACGACTGCGCGGCGTGCAAGGAGAGCGGTGGACGTTGCCGGATTGACACCGACTATGATATCTTCCAGTGCCACTGCTCCGACGGCGTGGCCGACCTCATCGTTTGCGGTCAGTATCAATTCATCTCGTTTTTACATCATTTTAAATTCCGTAGACCTGGTAATTACTTCAGAAATTATTTCATATGTCATTATTATTACCTGGAACGTGTTTGCAAATGCTTGAGTGACTGCGAGCCAACGGGCAGGCTATATGTATGTACAGCATCAGCCAAGCCATGTAGTTCAAATCCATGTTAAAAAAACAAATTTTGGATCAGTCGATTTCTCATTTCTTGGACAATGTGATGTGGAGGTCCGAGGCCGACATGGGGCGACACGGCCAGCCAGGGACGGATCCAGCAGGGTGTAGGGTCACCCTAACATCTTGGCTGGCAGTGACGGAGCTAGACGAAAACCTTTGGGGGGTGAAACGTAAATGACAAAGATTTGGGGGGCAAAAGGCTAATTTTTCCCTTACATAGATACTTCAACTATATTTTTCTTCAGAGTGTTTTTTTTAGAAGCCTACCCCAACTTGTTTGGGACTAAAGGCTTTGTTGTTGTTGTTGTTGTTGTAGTGTTTTTTTTTG